AATGTATGATGACAATAATATAATAACAGATCCCCAAGAGGTAGCATGCACTTTTAACACATTTTTTAAAAATGCACCCATTGATATCGTGTCGAAAATTCCAGGTAATACAGTAGACAAAGACAGTCAGTCAATTATTACAGATCATGAAAATTTCTTTCAATTGTACCCATTTACTGGGCAGGAACTGATCGAACTCCTCCAGAGTAAACTTAAAAACAAATCCTCTAGTGGTTTTGACGAGATACCTGCATTTTTGGTGAAAAAAGTTTTACCTTTTATAATCAATCCTTTAACTTATCTAACCAACTTGTCTTTTTGCAATGGGGATTTTCCTAATTACTTAAAGACAGGCAAAGTAGTTCCCATTTTTAAAAAAGGAGATCCAAAACTGGTCAGCAATTATAGGCCTATAACAATTCCCAGTATATTTTCAAAGGTATTTGAGTATGGATATTTAAAGAGATTAAATGGTTATCTAAAAAACAATAATATCATAACTATAAATCAACATGGATTTCAAGAAAATAAATCTACTAATACGGCAGTCCATGCATTTTATGCTCATTTAACCAGTCTGATTGATGCAGGCGAATGTCCTATTGGAATATTTTGTGATCTTAGTAGGGCATTTGACTGTGTGAACCATGAAATATTATTTAAAAAACTAAAACAGATAGGTATTACAGGAAACTCTTTAAAGTGGATTATGTCATTTTTAAACAATAGACAACAATATGTGAGCCTGCAGACAAGGATCGAGGATTGTGTGACCAGTTGTAGATCTAGTCTTGTTACTACAAACATGGGTGTTCCCCAAGGATCTATAATAGGACCAATTCTCTTTGTAGTCTACATTAACGACATCGTACAAGTGGACAGAGCGGTAAATTTCACTATATATGCGGATGATACGTCAATTATTCTATCTAACAAATCCAACGTAATCCTACAACATCAATGTAATAATTTTCTTTCATCTTTATATTCTTGGTTTTGCGATAACTCGTTGCATCTAAATGCAGAAAAAACGCAAGTTATACATTTTCACAATAAACAAAAATACTTGGAAAATCTTCAGCTTACTTTTAACAACATGCAAATAGGTACCGTGTCGTCAGGCAAGTTTTTGGGAATAACGATTGACGAAAGTTTGGATTGGAAGTTGCATTGTGGAGCGGTTGTTTCGAAGTTGAGTTCTATTAACTATCTAATTAGAAATTTAAAATATGTTCTGACGGAAAATCAGCTAATTATGATTTATTATGCGCTCGTAGAGTCCAGGCTAAGATACGGGATATGTTTTTGGGGTATGTCTGGTTATGCAAATGGTATTTTCGTCATACAAAAGAAAATATTGCGTTGTGTCGCTGGTGTCTCCCGACTAACTAGTTGTAGAGAATATTTTAAAAAATATAAAATTTTAACATTGTCGTGTCTATACATTTTTGAATTATGTGTTTTTATTTTTAATAACTTACATCAGTTTAAAACGAGTGGTGATATGCATAATTTAAATACTAGATATTGTAATAAACTTTATATACCATTTTCAAAAGGTAACATTAAACTTAAATCGCCCAGGGTATACGGGCTACAGGTGTTTAATCATTTGCCCACAGTTGTAAAGTCCACCAGTTCAATAAATGTATTTAAGAGGAATCTTAAGCAATTTTTATGTGAAAAAGTGTTTTATACAATCGAAGAATTTTTTAGATCTTAGATATTAGCTGTATTTCGTTTAGCTTTTAAATTCATTTCATGTCTTGTTTAGTCTAGTTTAGTGTTTAGTTTGTAGCAATGTATATTTATGACTAATTCTATACAAACTATGTTTGTCAAAAAGAAAATAAAGAATTTAATTTAATTTAATTTTAAATACAGATATAGACATCCAATGAAGGCAAAGGCCACTAAAATCTTCATTCTACTTCAACCATCAAAGAGAGAAGACAATTTTAGAGGTTATTGTTGTAAAACCTGCAAATTAACTACATTGTCCACTTTAAATGACATAAAGTTCAGGTTATGATTAAATAAAAAAGATGTAAAACTCCCTAGAAAAAACTTTCTGTCCGATAAATAAAAGAAACACTTGTGCGTTCTCTTTAAACCAGTTTTTGTCAATTTATAATACATGTTTTTTGTAAGAAAACTTATACAATTTTTTACAAAATTTTTGTAACTTTGACCAACTTTCTTTATGGCGCTAATCTCAAATCGTTAGTAACATCAACTTAATTCAAATAGACTGGCAATTATTCATGTTAAACTATTTGTAGCTTATCCCTGATAATGTCGATGACTATCGACGAAATATTGGAATAATAAAGAAACAAAGAGTACACTTAGCCTATGCTTTCAGCTGTTTTTTCAAAGAGTCTCAAAGCTTATATATAACTAACTAATAATATAAATATAACAATTATTATATATATAATATAATAATTTAAATAACTAATATAAATATACATATATATATATCCCTTTAAATCTATATCTGACCCACTTATTTTCACTTAATGCCTTTAGCGTTATATGTAGCTGTGTATATGTTATCAATAAAACCACAGCTCTAGCCTAGTATTGCCCCGAGCTTTTTTGAAGTGCTCATATTATATTCAAGCTCGGAACTGTTGTGTTATCTTTTACGCCAACCCTGTCAAAGCCCAATTCCAGCCACGTGTTTATCTAAAATTGATATCAAATTTTAATTTTCAGTACGTCAAGCTATCCACTAAGCCTTAACTTATACAATTTAGAAATATTACATTACCCTCATTTACATTTTTTTCTTTGATGCCACGCGTTGGTCTTTTTACTCTGTTTCGAAAAATGAAACCTATTGGAAGCGTTTCCTCTCGTTCGTTTTATTAGCACACGGTCCCCAAAATGCGTAGGTGTATTCGATGTCAAATGTTTCATCGAAAATTACCTTTTTTCTTTTTCCTGTATTCCGTCAACTAATGACGACGAAGGTTACATGTTATTTTATTGATTTTATTATAAACAATAATTATGTTCCATTAAAAAGTAGTTACATTTTCCATAATTTTGTCTATTATTGGTAGAGCAGTGTCAATATATACATAAGGTTTAATAAGTGAGCAGCGCATCCCTAAAACAATATAGAAAATAAATCAAGTAACCTTCTGGAAACGACCACTGTTTCAAACAAAGTTCAATCGATTTCTTATGTCAATTGAAACAAAAAAACTAATAAAGTTTTTTTAGTACAAATGCCAATGTTCCTTACAATTTACTGTAAGATTACAAATAAGATTACATATAAGGTATAGTAGGCGGTACAGTAGACTAGCGCGAAGCTTCATGTAGACTTCATGTAAGTGCAAAATGAGCCAAAAATGACTTTCAAAACGCATTGAAACGAAATTGATTGTGCTCAAAAATTTCCAAATAAGAAAACACTTCAATTATCTTTAAATGATTTTGACTAAAATGTCAAGTTTTTTTTTAAGTATATTTTAGTGGCATTTAGTGAAGGTGCTACTTTTGCATCTTGAAATCAATAAAACAATTAGAAAAAACATAAAAGAAACCAAGAGAAAAACGCAGGAACCAAAGATTGAAAGAGTAATCCAGCAGAACAAAAATATGAAATGCTTAAAACAACGACTCGGTAAAACTCAGATAAATGAAATGACAAACAGCGAAGGAACAACCAATAATGATATGAAACAAATAATAAAGTTGACACAAGAATACTATACGCACCTATACAGAACAAGACATACACCACAGCAAGAAATTCTTAAACAATTAAACACAAAAATAAAAAATATAAACTCTGACCTACAACCAGAAATAAGTAAAACAGAAAACAAGAAAACAATTCAAGAATTAAAAAACTATAAGTCACCTGGAAAAAATGGAATAACTGCAGAGATGCTGAAGAGAGGATGGAAAAAAACTAGAGAAGTCCTACATATCCTCATGAACAAAATATTGACCACAAAAGAAATACCCGATAGCTGGAACGATGCAGAGACACTATTAATGTTCAAAAAAGGTGACCAAAAGAACTTAAAAAACTATAGACCTATAACATTAATAAGTGTTGTATTTAAACTACTAACGAAGATCATGATAAATAGACTAAAAACTAAGCTTGACGAATACCAAGCAACAGAACAAGCGGGATTCAGAAAAGGTTTTAGTACTAGCGACCATCTGCTAACAGTGAAAATACTGATTGAAAAGTCGAACGAGTATCAAATCCCATTATACATGGCATTCATAGACTTCCGAAAGGCGTTTACCAAAAATGCGAGTACCACAATAAAATTGACGAACGAATACGCTACAGAACCAATAAAATTCGAAAGAGAGATCAGGCAGGGAAACCACTCTTGAACCACTTGAGATATGCAGACGATATAGTCCTGGTAACAGATAAGAAGGAAGAGTTACAGAAGATGGTTGCCGAACTAGATAGAAAAGCGACAGAGGTAGGTCTAGAGATGAACTATAGTAAAACCAAGACTATGACAAACCAAGAAGAGCAATTAGAAATAGTAGTCAAACAGTATAAATTAGAGCAGGTGGCAGAATACATATAACTAGGACAGATAATAAAGCTGAAGAGGGACAATGAAACAGAAGAAATAAAAAGAAGAACTAGACTAGCATGGGCCTCATTTGGTAAACTATCATATATTCTAAAAAATAAAATGTTCTCTCAATATATGCGAACGAAAGTATTCAATCAGTGCATTTTACCAGTTATCACATATGGCTCACAAACATGGACTTTCACAAATGAGAACATCGACAGGATATCCAAAACACAAAGAGCGATGGACAGACAGATGCTGTCTTTCCATTGCTCTTTGTGTTTTGTTTTGTGTTTGCTTGTTTGAAGATCTTATTTTTAACACGAGAAAACCCTAAATATGCGTCTTCTTTCATTCTTAGTTTCTGGTTTTTGACTCTTTTCCACTCATCTGGATCAGATTTATGTTTTCTTTTTCGACCTTTAGTCATATCGCCCTACTCTGGTTTTTTGAATTAGAAACTGATGTTTCAACTACATTTCTGCTCTCTAAACTAGTACAAAGCTCTGCAATTTTTTGTGTTTTTAAAACAGAATTATCCTGTTGAATTAAAACGTCTGATTGAACATATTCATCACTTCGTTTATTATTGGCCACTATTACTATTGGAATATTTTCTATGTCTATATTGGTAAGTTCTGTTAAGTTTTGAGTATTCCTATTTTTAAATATTTCATTATTACGGAGCCAAGAAATAACTTTTTCATTGACTTGTACTGTTTGATTGAAAATAATATCAGTTACTTCTTCGTCTTGATTTTGTGTACAGATAGGTTTTAATAACACATTGCAGTTAGTCGGGGTAATATTTTGTGGTTCCTCACAAGACTTAATAATGAGCCTTTGATAGCAGCGTTGTATAGTTTTTGTGCTCTTGACAGCATGGTAGGTATTATCCTAAAATTAATAAAACTGTAATTCTTACTCTAATTATGTATCTAAACTGGTTAAAAAAAATAATTTCCTAAGCCTAACTTAATATAATAAAGGCAGAAGCTGCTAAATGCAATTAAAATAGTAAAATTTTATTTGCAATATCTGCTGTCTACATTGCACTAGATAAAACATTTTAGTTAAAATTATATTTATAGTTAATCAAACCTACTTACCCCACAGTATTTTTAAATGTCTACTCAGTTAGTATGTATAATTTCCGGTAATTAACAAATAGAATACACGAGGATTTTCTAACGGAGAAAATGTTATAACCTAACTATGTGTCTGTGTAATGTTCAGACAGTAGACAAACTGACAGATAGCAGGTATTGCCGCCACTAAATTGATATTTTGTTATGAGTAGGTATTGTTAGACCGTAATAAGTCCCCAGAGTTCTATTTAAAAGACAGCAGATTTTGTTACAAGAAATGATTCATGTGTACGAAGCACTAGACATAACAAACGTAGTTTTGATAAAAATGTGAGTTAGCAGGTATTGTCAGATTGCCCACGATATATATCTGAATTTTCAATATGAATCTTCTGATTAAAAGCTATAGCTTTTTACAATCTAATATTTTGATAGGAATAAAGCCATAAAGCCAATTTAACTTTAAAAAGTTAACGTTTCAGTTTCGGAAATTGTTCTCAAATTGCAAAACCCTATCACTTACCATATTATTTGTTTCATGTTCTACAGCATAGTTTCGAGGTTGAAACTCCCGAACAAGTACTTTTAGTTTCGGAAAGAGATCTCTTATTTCATTTCAATGTAGGTAAATTTGTATTTCCTGACAGATGTTAAAAACATACTTCTCTGCGACATTTGTTGAATTTCCCTGGACAAAGTTTTATAATCATTTAAATTAAACTAAAAACCAGAGAGCGATATTGAAACTTTCTACAAAGACCTAGACAACAATTTAAAATCTACTAAAACACAAGATGTAACAATTATAATGAGATACTTTAACGCAAAGGTTGGGGAAGAAAAAGTAGAAGAATGTACAGGATATGGTCTGAGCAATAGAAACGAAAGGGATGACATGCTTATCGAATTTTGCCAAAACAATAATTTTGTTATACCTAATACATTGTTGAAAATGCCAAAGAGAAGACTATATACCTGGAAGTTACCAGTAGATCGGGAAGAGAGAATTGTAAGAAACCAAATAAACTATGTATTAGTTAGACAAAGATACAGCAACGCAATTATATCCTCAAAAACTTGCATCAAAGTGCCGACATAGGATCAGATCACATCCCAGTAGTGACCAAAATTAGGCTCAAAATGAAAATAATAAAACGAAGAACAACAAATGCAAAAATCGATACAAGTAAATTAAGGAACCCACTCATAAGGCAACGCCTGGCAGATGAAATCAACAAAGGATTAATGAATGTTAAAGAACAAATTCTGCAAAATACTGAGACGTAGAAAAAATGGTTATTAATAAAGACATAAATAGATAAAAGTCAAAAAAAATTATAATACCAACCAGATATAAAAAGAAGCAATGGATGACGAGAGAAATTTTGGATTTAATGGAAGAAAGACGTCAATATAATAACAAAGATAATCAGATGTACAAAAACAGTGGATAAACAAATAAAATACAGAATCAAGAAAGCAAAAGAACAATGGTTAAAAGAACAATGCACAGAAATAGAAGAATACCAGAAAAGACGTGATAGTTTTAACACACATAAAAAAATTAAAGAATTAACTCACAACAATAGAACAAGAAAACCAGGAATACTGAAAGATGCAAATGGGAAACTTGTGTTGAATACTAACGACAAATTAAAGAGATGGACAGAATACATCAATGAACTGTTCAAAGACAATAGAACAGAACAGATGGAGATAGAAGTAGAAGAGGATATGGTTTTAAAGATATTAAAAGAGGAAATTAAAATGGCATTAAAAAACAGCAAAAATGGTAAAGCATTAGGTCCAGACCAAATCCCTAGAGAAATCTTAAAATGCATGAATGATGAAACGTTAGACATTATAGTAGAGTTATTTAACTCAGTATGCAAAACAGGACACATACCGAAACAATGGTTAATCTCCACCTTTTGTCTTCTTCTTCATGTACCATGTCCTTTCAGAACGTTGGTTACCATCATAGCTATTTTAATTTTATTCACTGCCACCCTAAATAGCATGCTTGTATCTACACCATACCAATCTCGCAAGTTCTTCAACCATGAGGTTCTTCTTCGTCCTGGACTGCGTTTGCCTGCTATTTTTCCTTGCATGATATTTTGTAGCAATCTATATTTGGGACCTCTCATTACATGTCCGAAATATTCCAGCTTTCTCTGCTTGATGCTTTTTATGATCTCAGTAGTCTTGCTGAGACGTTCAAGTATTGTGGAGTTACGAATCTTCTCCACCCAGGAAACTTTTAAAATTCTTCTATAGCACCACATTTCGAAAGCCTCAAGGCGATTTAGATCGATTTTATTCACAGTCCAGGACTCGACAGCATAAAGTAAGACCGAGAACACGTAGCAGCGAAGTAGGCGGATCCTTAATGCCAATTTTAGGTCTCTGTTACATAACACCTTGGACATCCTTCTAAAAGCAGCTCTAGCCTGCTCTATTCTGGATCTAATTTCACCGTGATTTTCTGCATTACAATTTAATTGCTGTCCAAGGTAGACGATTTTATCAACTTGCTCAAGTTTGGTATTATTTACATATATAGACGGTTTTATATTCTGTTGTTTACTTATTACAAGTATTTTGGTTTTCCTTATGTTAAGATCCAGACCTGCCTCCCTACAACTCTCAACGACACTATCAAGTAGTGTTTGCAGATCTTCTTGACTAGAAGCTAGGAGTACTGTATCGTCCGCATATCGCAAATTATTGATGACTTCGCCGTCCACAAGTATTCCTTCTTGTTTTTCAGAAAGTGCTTTTCTGAAAATTCTTTCGGAGTAAACGTTAAAAAGCAGGGGTGACAAGAGGCATCCCTGCCGTACTCCTCTTTTAATATTGAGAGCTTGTGATTCCACACCATCTACTAAAACTGATGTTGTTTGATTCCAATATAAATTTGCAATTATTCGAACATCTCTGCCGTCCAAGCCAATGTCTTTTAGAGCTTCGATCAATATAGAGTGCTTGACATGATCAAATGCCTTTTGAATGTCAATAAAACAACAGTATATGTCTATAGATATATCACGACATCTTTGAGCAAGTACGTTCATTCCAAACAGTGCCTCTCTCGTTCCAAATCCGTTACGGAAACCAAACTGAGTGTCATCCAGGAATTCCTCACATTTATTGTAGATACGACCATGTATTACCTTCAGAAAAATTTTCAATAAGTGGTTTAACAAACTGATGGTTCTGTAATCAGCACAGGTTTTTGCTGTTGTCTTCTTAGGTAGAGCTATAAACAGTGAGTTAGACCAACCATTAGGTAGTTGTCCGCTGGTATAAATGGTATTGAAAAACGAAGTTATAGCCTCTAAAAAGTTGTGTGCTATCCCTAAAAATACAAACGCTAAATATTGCAGTAAATACAGAACAATATCACTAATCAGTCATATTCTCAAATTATTCCTGAAAATAATACATAGTCGTATAAATAAAAAACTAGAAGAAGGAATAGATGATAGTCAGTTTGGATTGAGAAACGGGCTAGGAACCAGAGAAGGCAGATTTGCTTTTAATGTGAGCTTAAAGATGCACGGATATAAATGTTGATGTGCATGTTTGTTACGTTGATTTTGAAAAAGCATTTGACAAAGTAAGACATGAAAAATTAGTACAAATTCTAAAGACAAAAAACATAGACCATAGGGACTTACGAATAATAACAAACCTCTACTGGAATCAAAGAGCACAAAACGTAATAGATAACGAATTCAGTCCAGAAATTGAAATCAGGAGAGGAGTTAAGCAGGGATGTATTATGTCCCCATTACTATTTAATGTATATAGTGAAGCCATTTTTAAAAAAGCATTACTATCTCTAAGTGAAGGAATAATAATTAATGGAAAATTTGGCTAAACAAAACTAACCGCAGCTGTGAAAAATATGGACTACAAATGAATATAAAAAATACCAAATACATGATGATAACAAAGAAAACAAATATATTAACAAACATACATTTGGTAAATAAACCGATAGAAACGGTTGATAAATACAAATACCTAGGAACATGGATTTCAGACAATAATGATCAAACAACCGAAATAAAAGCTGGGATAGAAAAAGCAAGAAATGCATTTGTGAAAATAAAAACAATTATCTGCAACAAAGATCTTAGATTGAAACTAAGAGTAAGAACACTGAGATGCTAGGTGTTTTCGATACTGCAATATGGACTTGAAAGCTGGACATTGAAGCAAGAACATATAAATAAGTTACAGCCGTTTATGTAGTGTTACAGGAAGATGCTTAGAATAGCATGGATACAGAAGAAAACTTACACGGAAATATTGTGAGAAACGGGCAAAGAATGCAAAAGAATAAACACAATAAAAATAAGAAAGTTACAATATCTGGGACACGTAATAAGGGGATAGCGATATGAACTGCTAATGCTGATAATACAGGGAAAGATAAGACGGGGAAGGAGTATAGGAAGAAGGAGAGTGTCATGGTTGAAAAATTTAAGGGACTGGTTTAAATGCAGTTCTATAGAACTCTTCAGAGCAGCGGTATATAAAGTAAAGATAGTGATGATGATATACAACCTCCAATTGAGAGACGGCACTTAAAGAAGAAGGAATTACAACTGCCAACTTTAAGTTTCTTCTTTATACTATAATTTTCCATGTTTCGCTTGTCCGTCCAAAAAGTCTCAACATCTTGAAATTTACCAGTTGACTCAGGAGGTCCAAGAGCTGGTTTGCGTTTGTGTCTAAAGCTACGGTTTGTTAGAACAGTGCGCAGCGCACGGCATACACGTACAGCAGATTCTGTTG